ACAATGAATAGCCTCTTCCATCACAAAAACGTATGCATACATTAAAAAATAAAAAATAAATTCTACGGAGATTGTGAGATTCTGTGAAAAGTTATTATAGGGTGTTGGTGTGGATCTTCTTTTCTCATGCACCCATAGCCAAAAAGGTCGACCTGTTAAACTCTGCGTAGAGGTTACACATATTTTTCAATTGTTTTTAAAAATTTACAGATGATAATTTCAAATCTATAACGACTTTATATACATATATATGTTTATTATGATATAATTGACGAAGAAAGGTCTATATTTATACTAAAAGTCTGTTTTAGTACGAACAAATAATTACCAGGAAGTGTAACTTCCTAAAAATTATAGATTTAATGATTATTTCAAAATGAAATTGATAAAATCCGATTTTTCCAGATATGATTTCACTGTCGTAATTACTCAAAAAAGTAAAGAAAATAATCGATGAATGGATATTGTTTGCTTGCAATTAATCATTAAAATAATCAAACCTCACCTCTTTTTGAACAACAAAATCAATACTCATTTTAATTTTTTAACGAAAAGATCGTGTCTTATTTTATACTCACACAATTTTGAATAAAGAACGAATAATAAATTTGTTTTTACTTTTATTTTTAAAAATTTCATTCGTTATCATAAAATAGACAAAAATAGCAATTTCAGCATTTTTTTCAACTGTTATATCAGTGCGGCACATCATTTTTCAACTTTAAATCATTATTTTGATTATATACATATTCAGGATTATTCGTCATTCGACGTTCAATAAAAATTTTTGCCTAGATCAGATTCAATTATATTCCAACTTTTCCTTTCCTCACACTTTGTTCGCTACAATTATTTGTCCCTTGCACGTAGTTATCATACATACATGAGTGAAACTAAGTATGACGTATACTCTGAGACTTTAGTTAATGAATTGTTCTCATCTTAAATCACAAAACGCACATTGAAAATCAATTTAACACAAATCATCAAGCATTATGTTCCTTTATCAAATCATAAATTTCTTGTATATCAACGACTACAAATACTATTATGTTACAGAGACCAAATTGAAATTGAATATTTGAAAAAGTAGGTCCAATCGAATTGAGATGCCTTTATTCAATTTGTTCTCTAGGCCATGAAGCTCTCGGCAAAACAGCAAAACCAAACGATTAACAGCAGAACAAGTTGAAATATATTTGATCACAATTTGATAAGCACAAGCAGAATACATATCATCTATAATCTTATAAGAAAAGTAAAATAAAATACTAATTATCATCTTCAAGTCTTATGCTGAACAACAATTCTCATTATCCTATTTGGACAGCTATTGAATAATAGTTGAACATAATAAAATCAAAAAATGATCGAATAAAAATTGTTTAGTATGAAAAACAACCGAGAAATCCGGAACAAAAGAACGAAAGCTTGAAATTTCAGATGTAAATGTGTATTTGACACCAATTAAATTGACTTAATAATGTTACGTGAAACTCATAATTGACTCAAATCAGATACACAGATAAAAAAGAAAAGAATAACATTCTAGAAGTTGTAATCAAGGCCATCTGTTTGTTGTGAACAGAAGTGTTCAGTAAAAATGTGTAATCAAATCATGCGTACGTATATTACAATTTAAGTACTCTTTAATGGGTTTAATACTTTTTCGATAGTTGTTGATTTATAATTTCATACAAATATTTTGGTATGATAAGTTTCATAATGAGAAGATATTTTAATTTTCAACGATATACTTATGTATATGAGAAAAAAAATAAACAATTCATCTTTTTAAGGATCTTGACATTGTCAAATGATTTCTATGCATCATTTATTTTGTACCTGTTTAACTTATTCCGTTCAAATAAGGTTTTTAGGCTAATTTTTTGTAACGATCAGTTTTCGTTCGTCCAATCTTGATAGATATACTTGGGATACGCGATTCCGATCTTTCAAGTCTCATTTATATCATTTTTTCGGATTCATTAATATCGAACTTTTATGAGTAATTTTACTGTATAAAATCTAATTATGTTTTTTTTGTACTTTTTTTTTTCTTTTAAACAAATAAATGATCTTTGAATATGTATGAATAGATGAAATATAGAAAAACTAATTAGAACGGGAAAATAGAAAAATAAGTGGCTCGCTCAAAACAAAACCATTAAAAAGTAAGTAGAAGGTATAATATATGCGAAAATAGAGTATCTTTTTTCTGTAACACTGTCATTCGAACCGAATTCAAACGAACGTTTTATTGTTTGTTTCGGCTTCAATAATTTTATAATAAATCTCAATGTTTAAAATTAGTGCTACCGACTTTGATAAAGTAACATATGTTTAAGTACGAAAAATAGTGCGATTAGTGTCAATATCTTAAGATGATTCGATTGAAATTGTGTTATTCTGCACGAAGCACGAGCGTCATCTGGACGTTTGCAAAAACTACTGGTAGACAACAACAAAAAAATGATAAGACGATTACGTAAATATCATGTTTGCTCGGTTTACTATTTATAAAATCACTCTTAACCACGGTGTTACATTTTGTAAAGAAATTATAAGATAATATAACATTATTTTTATTTTTATTTATATTAAAAATTATTTTCTTTAACCATAATGGACAGTTCGCATTGTGCTGATACTGGTGCAAAACAAACTCATCAACCTCAAGGTCATGAAGAACAAATGGCAGAAGTAAATGTTTATAAAACAGGTCAAGGAAAATCGGCTATTGTTTTATTTACTGATATTTTTGGTTATAAATTTATCAATACTCAAAAATTAGCAGATCGTTTTGCTAATGACACTGGTGCAACAGTTCTTATTCCTGATTATTTTCATGGAGATCCAATGGATCCTAATATACCCAATTATAGGGATTTGTTACCTGATTGGCGAAAAAGACATCCGGCAAGTGAGGCATGTGAAATTGCAGATAAACTCATTTCAACTATTAAAGGACATTATGAATCCATTCAAGTAAAATTAAAAATTTTTCTTTTAGAAAATAAATAGTTTTAGTTTTTTCTTAATTTTATTTTAGGTAATCGGTTTTTGTTATGGTGGTAAAGTAGTAGTTTATTTAATAGCACATCCAGAATTATCATCAACAGTAAAAGCAGCCATAGTTGGACATCCATCAATGTTAGTGAAAGAAGAAGCTACACAAATACGACGACCTATTCTATTTTTATGTGCAGAAACTGATCATCTTTTTACACCTGATATCAAAGAATATTTTGAAAAAGAATTAACTGAAAATGGTCTTGGAACATTTCTCAAATATCCTGGTACTGTTCATGGCTTTGTTGTTCGACCAGATGGTTCTCCACAAGTTAATCAACAAAGTGAAAAAGCGATTCAAGATGCTATTGAATATTTTAAAAAGAATATATAATTTTTTTACACGAAATCATAGACTTCTTTTTTCTTATAAAATGGCTTATATGATATGCTATTTTATCCAAAAATCAATCGCAATAGATATGGTCCATGATATCATCTTCTAAAACGACAGATTGATTACCAAAAAATCTAAAATTTCCAAATTAATTATTAAAGTATCAAAGTAAAAGGTCGACATAAACTTAAAATATCAATTTTTTTAAAATAAATCTCATGATAGTGTTAGAGATCAACTTATTTGAGATTGCCATTATAATATAATAACTTTTGATTTTACACCCTATGACCTTCTCTCATGAAAAAATCATTTACTTTTATACTTTTATGCTAAGCTGCTACTATTTTCATATTCTTATCATTTCGCTAAAAATATCACATAGATGTAATCATTGAATAGTATAAGATTTTAGTTATGTAAAATTTAAAATAAAAACTTGACATATTTATCTGTCAAACAAAAATAAAAGAACTTGTTCAATACAATAAAACAACAGTCAAGATGTACAATAATCTATTTTGTGGTAATTGAAGTTTGAGCATAATATACATCTGTTGGCTATTTTCAAACAACTATCTACTTTTGCTTTCTCTAACTACACACAAAAAAATGAGAACCTGATACAACCGACAATAAAAAAATAATATGTGATAAATGTTTCTATCAACATATTCAATTATTGTAAAGGCAATTACTGTTGACATCCGTTTTTTATTGATGATTGTAACGAATAATCTATTAAACTATTACTTTGAATATGTTTTCTGAAGCACATTCGATTATTAGCGTTAATTTTGTGTTTCTATGTTTCTTCGCTATGAAGATTTGTAGAAATAAATTTTTTATATAAAGAAAAATTGTATTGTTTTTCATCACTATTAAGATATTATTTGAATACATGTCTGATATTCTTTTATCATAATATCATCAGTGTTATCACGTATAATCAAACAACACTTCGAAAAACTAACACAAAGATAAACCGATAAGTATCTTAAGAAAAGAAAAGATTTATTTCATTACATTCTTAAGTAAATTGCTCATCAGCAACTATCAAAGTTAAATTTAATTAACCAGATGTGTACAATCTACCTCTTTGCACACATGCGGTCTTGGAAAATTTTATATGCGATAAACATAGTAACTATTTTTTCTCTCTCAACATATTTTGTCGAGAAAATTCACCACTAGAAATAATATTTATGTATACAGTATATTGCTCACCTCTGTATTTTACACAGAAAAAAAAAAACTTGTTTATTCAATATTTTATCAAAAGATGTGTCAAACGTTTGATTAATAATTTCTTTTTTAATCATAAATCAGACATCAGTTAAATATTTGTTAACCTTTCTATTGTTGATGTCTTTTTTCTTCATCGTTAATAATCAAAAAAAATGTTCTGACGAAGAAATGACATTTATCATTCACATTTCATAATTTATTATATAATAAATTTGATACTCAATGTCAAATTTAGTATGAGAAGTCCAAAGTTTTATTTTTATCGAGAAGAAAAAAGAAGTTGTTTTTAAGCCTTCCGAGAAAGAAAACATTAAAACAAGTAAATTTTACAGAATAGTTTATTTCAAAAAATGTCTAATNTATTATTCTGCTGTTGTTTTGCAAAATCCATTGGTGTTATCGTAAATAGACGAGGAATATTCGAATGAATAGTTGCATATTCAATCGTTGTAACACTTGATGCATTATATTCAAGTAATGCTGCTTCAATCCATGGATTTTCAGTTCCAATAACAGCACATTTCTTATTGATAATGGCTAATGATGCATATTTATCTAGTGCAGGATATATGTCTTTGTTACCATATGAACCATAAGCTTCTCTTGATCGTAGTTGTTTACGATAGTTTTCAATGAGATCAACTGTCCATTTTGCTGGCAAAGCATCACCCGCACGAAATTCTTGAGACCCATAATCAACTGGTATTGTATAGTTTAGTGTAAAGTTAGATAAAAGATCATCAGGTATTTTTTTGATATGTTGAAGTGTTAGTGGCAAACTGTCTTTAAGCCATGCATTATAAGTTGGGCATTGATCAGGATCAGGAGTACAATAAATATTATATTTGATGAAGTCAGGATTAGTCTTACGTGGAAGAAAAGAACATGAAACAAGCTTGTTATTGCGGGTGTTAGTCCAAGGACAGTAGCCAGCACAAACATAAATATTTTGAGTTTGTTTGCATGGTGGATCAATTAAACCATTAATAGTGAGTAATCGAGCATATTCATATAAATCGATAGCAGATAATTGTTGTTGTGGACGAGATACTCGATGATCTTGACGTTTTGTAAGTAATAGTGTGATAGTTGTTGTTAAAACAATAAATACTGTGAGAAAATTTTTGCATACTTTATTCATTATTGGGTATATATGTCAGACCTAAAAGTTAGATTCAACTATTCACTTATTGAATACTTAAGATAAAGATATTCAATTATTCAATCATTCGAAGAATTGAAGTAAAAATATTGAGCTATTTAATAATTAAATAGTTGAAGCAAAGATACTCAGCTATTCAATTTTTGTGCCAGGAAGGACAAATTCACGAGACAACACACACGGTATCGCAGCTGGTATACATGTCGCAAAAAGAACACATGGCAAAAGTAAAAGTTATATTTAGCTGTTTTATTATTGAATAATTGAATAGTTGAAACAGTTTGCCATAATTGAATTCAAGTTTCACACTTGACACTACTGTTTATTGCTAACTGAAGATATCCTTCTCAGCTAGTAAAATCATTTAAACATAGTCGACATATTTTTGGTTCTCTAGCCTGAAATGATAGTACCTGAAAACAACAATTCATCTGTGTCTGCCTATCTGGAACATAGTTACGATATGGTAAAAATGCTGCAGTTGACTTTATAAAATAACAAAAAGGAGCATCTGCGCATAAGAATTAAAACTAGTCGAAGAGTACTATTTGTATATCAATAGGAAATCCATATACATTCTATATTTCTAAGCATATGACTGTATGCAGCTGTATTACATAATTCAGTATTGTGACCGAATTTCTCAGTATTACACATGAAAAGATATGATCATAATACTGAACCATGTGATCCAGTGTAGATCAGAAACAGTTCTACGATTAGTAATTGAAATATCTCCATTTCAGTTGGCTCACAGGGACTGATATGTTATTTAATGACAGAAACTTATTTTCAGTTTTTGTTTCATGTGGATAGTATAAACAAATACTACTATTAAACTATTTTAGGCCTCACTAGAGAAATTTCAACTATTTTAAAGTAATAAAAATACTTATAAAGTGTTTTATAGATAGTTCTCAGTTGTTATCTTATAGAATGATCAAAAGAAATCAAAACAAACTTTGTAGGCAATACTATATTGATGCATATAGAGCAAATTTTCAAAACTACTTAGTTAGGTTAAAAGTCAACAGTCATCAAATTTTGAATTTTTCAACATGGTAACTTGCTAGTACTATTTGTTTACGTTATCTGTATAAAAACAAGAATCTTAAATAAGCTCTTACCGCTAGCCAAAGCCTTAGCCTATTCGAACGAACCAAAGCGGAGATACTTCTACTTTTTATTATATCGTTATTTGTAGCTCACATTGTACATCAATGAATGACGATTCACAATCGTTTATGAACGTGCTCTATCGATTTGGACGTGATGATTTGAGATAAAAGAATCGCTGATGCAAATAAAATTACGCATTATTCAGCTTTTCATATCATTAATCTCATGGTTGATATCCAAAGCACATGTTTCTATACACAACCAAAAGAGAGAAAACGAAGAGAGAAGAGAAAGAGTCAAGCAGAGAGAGATAACTAACGATACTTGGTTGCGATAGAGGTAAGTGCGGAGCAAGCGATAAAAAGAAATGACAAACGACGAAGGTTAAACATCATGCATGAATAATCAATCCAATTAAACGGCGACAGTGTATTATCGCACATACTAAACTCAACCGGAAACATCACACTGGGATGTTTTTAGAATAGACAATTATTGCTATTACACTATTTAATCATTTAACCGATTGTTCAATTCCGTATGCATGATAGTGTCATCTAATAATGATTAAGAGTTAGAGAATGAATGTGAACATAAGATTATGATTAAATAAAATCACATTATCTATAATAATGTGATGTTAATTCTTTTTTGCAAAGAAATAGCTCTTAGATAACCAATTACAAATAATTGTACTCATTTCTACTGTATCTTTATAAATCAATAAATATGTAACATAAGTTTTTATTTTAAACATGAAGACAACACAAAATTATATGAATCATGAAAAATTAGAGCACTTTCAATTCCAAGTTTTGTATTTAAATTATCCAAACTTTGAGCATAAAGACACTCTAAAATCAAAATACGTCTCTTTATGAGTGCATATCATTCATAGAAATTCACCTATTCAACATATATAAATAGATGATTAAAAACAATTTTTTGTTAGTGTACTCGATTATCATTTAAAAGTACAAATAACGTTTTAAGAATAATATTAAAAACCAAGAAGTAATATAGTTAGAAGAGTACAACGATCAAAACACATGATAAAATTTCTGATGAAAAATTGATAACATTGCAATATAAATTAAGCTTTAATTTAGTCACATGCACTATGTTGAAAACTTGGTAAACATAAAAATCAAGTTTTATATAACGAAAAAATTAGTCTTTTGAAAAGAATTGCGCTTATACATAGAATCACTTTTTTTATTTATATATTACTTTACTTTATGCGCGTTAATATCTAGATGCACCTATATAAATGTCTTTATCCTGTTAGTCTAGGGCCAAGTGAAAGGTATTTCGATGAAGGCAACTTTTTTTATGTGACAAAAAGGTGTATGAATCTATTAAACGAGAAATTTATTCAAATAAAACCTCTCAACAAAATTTACCATTATAATCATATTCAGAATAGAATCAATTCGCAAGAATGACATCAATAAAAAAAGCACAGCTTTGATAGTCGTATGTTGTGAAGTACTCTTGCCAGTTTATAAGACAAATTACTTAGCCAACAGTGTTTCGATCATAAGTGATTCAATGAACTTCCAAAGTCAATAGTACTTTTGATTGTAATGCACAGAAAAAATACGATTATGATTGAAATAGTTTCGGCCGAGTGGTATTCAGCTAAGCACAACTAGACATATTTCTATATCAAGCATATTTCTTCAGATAACATTCAGAGTCTTATAACCATGTACGAAGGCAATAGCTGCTAATTTTAGTTACATATATTTTCGATTTATTGTATGTGAGTAGTTACTGAGATGAATGACAATTAGGAAAGAGTTAACAAATCAAAAGTAAGAGAAAAAAAGTGAACTGAGATAAAATGGTGCGGAGTTCCTCGCTGCTATATAATACAAAACAAAACAAAAACTTTGTGATGAAACGTGTGAAAACCAATTATAAATAGAAAAATATCTCTTTTTGATACTCATTTAAGATTTACGCTATTTTGTTTAGATCTGTCCCTCTCCCTCAAAAGAAGTCAATTTTCGTCAAAAAAAGTGAGAAGTAGGATACATGCATAGGAAGATTGTCTGAGCTCTGCCTGTTCAGAAACAACATGATACTTTTATTTGGCGTCAACTTTTGTGTCCATATTTTCGATGATTGCCATCATCTTAGGCTTAAAAAATCATAGGTTTTCAGAAAAATGGAAAATCTTTTTCAATTTTTTTCTCTGTTTATGCTTATTTAATTGCGCATCCCAGGTTTTTGTATAAGCCTTCATTCTATACATTTAATGGTTTTTTTTATTTTATTTGAAAGAGCATGTGAAGATGTAGTGCAGTACAGAGTTTTGTTTGTAACGTAAGCTTTGCTCTTATTAGATATACAAACATTTATATACACCCATGTTCAAAAAGTTCTCGGACTGATTTTATTTTGAAACAGATAAAAGTTTGTGCGTGAATGCATGAAGAACATACGATACTCACGTTCACATCTTTCTGTTTGGCAAGATGGAAATGGATGAATGATTTCTCTTTGAATAATTTATATTTCTGCTGGAGAAAATCCATTTCAAATAGCATTTGTCCATAGAGCTGAGGTCGGATTCACATTATAATTCCAATATTTTTGAAAAATCCTATATTTTGTCTTGTATTTCGGTCTCTTTTCCTATTTTTCTGATATTTTTTCAAAAAAAGTAGAAAATTTCCAAAAATCTGTTATATCTCCATCGTTTCACACAACTTTTTCCGAAATTTGGCTAATATGTGAGGGATGATAGGGAGACTTTCGCCGCGCTCCCTTTCCACTCGCCCGGCCATCACTTTTCATGAAAAATCAAGAAATTAGCGGAAGTTGTTTCTAGAAAGTGTTTTTGTGAGAATAGGATATACATACTTAATGTTCAAACCAAATGAATTAATATTCATTTGGTGATCATATAACTTTTGAAACTTTCGGTAACTCTTCCATATATGTATGCATGCGTATTTATGTGTTTGTAAAGCATATAAATACATATTGGATCGCATACATGAATTATTTTAATTAGTCAAATTTAACTATGAAAAATAATACATGTTTTTTTTTTACTTTTTACTAAGTTTATCTTGTCAAAGTTTATGATCTACTTTCTTTATTTGCTAATACACGAATAAAATATATTCTAATTGAAATTTACAACGATAATTGAATCAAAGTTTTATTTTGACAGAAAGAAATGGAGCAGACATCCAGATAATGCTGCAGCCGTTCATGCTAACTCCAGTGAGAAGACATCTCAAATGACGAAGTAATCAAAGCCAAACTTTTGAGTAGAAATGATGCATAAAAGAATCTGATATTTTTTTCATTTTTTATTCAAAATCCTACAATTTAGAAAACTGACTCCTATACGAATTCCTATATGTTCAAAAACTCGTAATCTGAGGCCAGTCATAGAGAGAAAAAAGCAGCTTGATTGAAATCTTCTTGAAAGGATCCTTACTTTCCTAACCAAAGAAAAAATTTCCTTTTCGATTTCACGGTTTTCATTCCTAACAATGCACTCAAGTGTCTTCTATCAATTACCGCTAAAATCAGAATTGTGACAAGTTGTTTAAACTCTAAAAAAAAAACTTGTTTTCGAGAAGCCCTACTTTGAAAAAAAACTCCATGTTCTTTTTGGTGGCAATCTGGTAACTTTATTCTTTTTATTATTTCTATGAATATTTCTTAGAAACAGCTCTTTCTATTTACATTTGATTCTTAATAAACGAGGATCTGAAGTAATTCAAAATGAGCAAGAAAAATATAGATGTGAACGAAAAACATTTGACTTTCTGTTGCATTTTTCTCAAAGTCAATCTTGGAACAAAAATAACGAGGTTTTTGCGTTTTTTCATCTA